CACAGGGTAGGGATATGTTAGCATATTGTTTGGTAATTTGGCTCACCCTCCCAAGTGTTCTGTACATGGGTAGGTCTTGAGCCTTGCCTACAGGGGGAGTTTAGCCACTGGTATAAACTACGTGTGGAGGATTGTTCTGGCATGCAGATTTATCCTTTGATGAAAATTGCCATGTAGGCAGGGCTCTTCACATAGTTGTTCAAAATCTCCATGTTAAAACCCTTACATCTTACTTCCAGACTTAGTTCTTAGCTCAGACAAAATTAGAAGCCAAAAGTTCAGGCCAAACTGAGCTATTTGCATAACGCACAGAGGTATTCACACAAAAGAGGTTTCTCTGGTAAGATGCTGACAGCACTTCCAGCTCAACTTCATTTTGAGGGCTCAGAGAACAGCTATAAAAATGAGAAAAGCTGAAAAATATGGGGTTTTCAATGAGAGACTGCAGGCACTTCTTGATGCAGGCTATTAAAGAAAGGGTGAAAGAGTGACTTGATCTGAGTCTCAGAGTACCAGTGCAACAAGGAAACACAAGCTGTTCACGGTAGCAGAGGTGTGGCTAGTAATGCACCAGTGGCTACTAATTGCAGCTGAACAAACAAAAACGATCAGTATAGAAATGTAGTGACATTTCTTAAACAAGTAATTAGGCTTTGGGAGAAGAGGGCTGTCATGGATCTTTTCTCCCTAATGCTTGTCAAACCTAGATACCTACCTGAAAGATACTCTGGAATTGAAAAATAATTCTAGGTGCAATAAGACAGAATCCAGATCCCTGAAATGCCAGGATTTAGTTACATCTTCCCACCTATCACTAACTATAGCTACTAGTAAAGGTTAAAGGTATGACATATTTTGAGTCTACAGGTGCTCTAATCTTTGTTTTAGAATCATAGAATCATAGAATTGTTAGGGTTGGAAAGGACCTTAAGATCATCTAGTTCCAACCCCTCTGCCGTGGGCAGGGACACCTTACGCTAAATCATATCACCCAAGGCCTCTTCCAACCTGGCCTTGAGCACTGCCAGGGATAGAGCATTCACAACCTCCCTGGGCAACCTATTCCAGTGCCTCACCACCCTAACAGGAAAGAATTTCCTCCTTATATCCAACCTCAACTTCCCCTGTTTAAGTTTTAACCTGTTACCCCTTGTCCTATCACTACAGTCCCTAATGAAGAGTCCCTCCCCATCATCCTTATAGCCACCCTTCAGATACTGGAAGGCTGCTATGAGGTCTCCACGCAGCCTTCTCTTCTCCAGGCTGAACAGCCCCAACTTTCTCAGCCTGTCTTCATACAGGAGGTGCTCCAGTCCCCTGATCATCCTCGTGGCCCTTCTCTGGACTTGTTCCAACAGTTCCATGTCCTTTTTATGTTGAGGACACCAGAACTGCACACAATACTCCAGGTGAGGTCTCACAAGAGCAGAGTAGGGGGGCAGGATCACCTCCTTCGACCTTCTGGTCACGCTCCTTTTGATGCAGCCCAGGATACGGTTGGCTTTTTAAGCTGCAAGCGCACACTGAAGCCAGCTCATGTTCATTTTCTCATCAACCAACACCCCCAAGTCCTTCTCTGCAGGGCTGCTTTGAATCTCTTCTCTGCCCAACCTGTAGCTGTGCCTGGGATTGCTCCAACCCAGGTGTAGGACCTTGCACTTGGCATGGTTAAACCTCATGAGGTTGGCATCAGGTTTACTTAACCTTGTGCTGAGCAGGGCCACACAAATTAGCTCTAACAGTACAATTATCTACTGGTACCAGATCTGTACTGCATCACTCAAATTGCTGCATCTCATGGAACTGACTGGCATAGATTGAGTCCACAAATTAGATTTCAGGCTTAAGACTTCTCTTACGAAGAAAACCAGCCAAACTTCCTATGGCTTATTTACATCAGATAGGGACTCTTCATCACCATGTGACATACATATTTTTAAAAATTAGGAGTTACCTATCACTTAAGCTGACACAATAAATCAGTTGCCAAATTGAGAATGACGACCAAGTATGATGAGAACCATCTCACTGTGCAGAGAAGCAGGACAACCCTACATTTTGAGCTGCAGAGATAATAGCCACCAGATGCTGTATCACAATGATAGAGAACAGGTAACTGTAGGTTTACATCTACAAGTAAAGGATACCCTTCTAATCACCAGAGAGCTTCTACAAATGGTGCTGTATGGGATCAAGCCCATTCAATTTCAAGAAAGTGTGAGGAACCTCCTGGATTCAGTCTCTTTGACTGAGCTCTGTTCCTCAGAAGGATTCACTCTTTTGTTCCTCAAAAGGATATTATGAGCTGAGGAGGGAGATGAAGTGCCGGTATGGTAAACAAACACTCCCAGACAGAGATGCACATGTCTGTTTAGGAAAACAACATGTTTTCAAAACAACTCTCCCCTGACTTAAGTAGGAAGTACAAGGGTTCCATGTCTCTTCCGTTTCTGAAAGCTGCGTTACTAACAGCCTCAATATTTGCATTGAATCACAGTCCATTAAGATCATTTCAGTCCACCAAGAATGAAAGCACGCACATCTAAATATTTATAAGAGAGATACTCCCTCCAGGTTCATTTTCCAGCAGCCTCTTTCAGCGCTGGCTCTCCAAATGGCCAACTCTTCCAGCAGAACTGTTTCATGCACATCCATCTGCTCGCTTTGTTCAGATAAACACACGTCTCTCCTTCTAGCCATGTGGTACTGACTTGTCTCTGCTGTGTGCATGGCTAGTGGGGATGCCCTGCAGAATCTTTACTGTGAGTCACATAGAGAACCCAGCTGGGTATCTGGGAGCCCATTTGGGTTTACAAGTTAACAGGGTGTGGGAAAATTTTCTTTTAAACCAATCCATGAAGCAAGTCCAGTATGGAATTACTGAGTTAATACACATGAATAGGCTGCCTGTCATTTTTCACAGAATCCTTTCTATGACTGTGACTGGAAACACAAAGTGATAAATGAACAGAGAGACTGAAATCCACCCCCCCTCAGTTTCTCTGAAAAGCAGTTTCACAGAACGTGAAAGGCTGAATCAGATTGGCAGCATGCAGAAAGCTACTGCCACTGCTGTACATGCTACTGGTCAGCAGATAAACAAAGCAATCCCGTTTCCAGGGCTGTGGAGCCAGCACATCTTTTTAATAGCTTTGAAAAATAAAGGAAAACAAGGCAGAGTCATTTCAAGCTCCATTAGAAACTGAGAAAAATCAATGTTTGACAAATAGGAAGGGACAAATTCTGGATAAGGAAATGCTGCTAAGCTTAGAAACATCTGTGTGTTTCAACCGGCAATCAAATAAGCAAGCAATCAGATGCCTTTGAAATACCTATGCACTCTAATGGCAGGAGCTGTTAAAAATATATTGAGAGTCCATCATTAAAGCAAATGGGACAAAGCTGTTTTTGGTAATTACTGTGTCACTCAGACAAACATACCTGCAGTGGGGATAGTTTTGCAGTCCTTGCTCAATACATCTGTACCATCAGTTCTCTACTGATAAAAGCCTGTTTATGATTGTTCCCAGTTAGCTATTTAAGCTTTAAATGTGTACTTGGATTAGGAATGCATTCTGTCCGTGCTAACTGATTCATATACTCAGACTAATTTAGGTTGGAAGGAATCTCTGAATATCATCTGGCCAACCTCCTGCTCATGAAACGTGAAGTGAGGTACAGAGAGGGTACAGAGCTTACTTTAGGGGTGCAGGTGAAGGGGATCAAGAATGGTCATATCTCTGACCCAGCATCCTATCCTCTCAGCTGCAGGCTGCAGTTACCATGCAAAAAATGAAGTCTGTCTTCACTGGTGAGACCTGAACTGTGACAACTTGGATTTCCAGGAGCAGTGAGTCTCCTTCTTGCCAGAGACATGCTGAGTAACACCACCTGCCATGGGAAATTTCTCTTCATGTGCTGGCACTTGTCACTGCCAGCCTCTGAACTGATCCTTGCAGCGGCATCCTGCCTGCCTTCCCCGGGTTGTGTCATTCCCAAAGTTGCCTTGGATTGCAGCGTCAGGTGGGCTCATAGGCAAGTCCATTTCCCCAGAGATGTGACTGCACCGTGTCCTGTTCTTGTCAGTATTCCCTAAACAATTCTCAATGCTCAGTACACCCAACGAAGTGTAGCCCACGGGTAAGTGCTACACAAAGCCATGAACAGGGCTGTAAAGCTTGCCTCAAGGATCTCCCCTTTTCATCTTTCTTTTGCTCCTAGTTGTGGGAAACTCACTATGTGAATTTTATTCAGCTCCTTGACATTTATGCAACAATTATCCTGCAGCACACAGAGTCCTCAGCTTCTTTACGGTGCTTACCTTTTCCTTTAAAAAATCTGCAGAACTAACCTCTTGGGATGAACTTGTGTTGCAATACTTTGCAGAAAGCACACAGTGTAACACATTTGTTCCTACAGCTCCAGGTGTCTCTAGTTCGCCAGCAGCACATTCCAGCTGAGCAGAGCCCCTTATCATTTCCTATAGCAAAACTCCACACAGGACCCCCTAGATAAAAGGCATTTATATATTATTTGTAAATCTAAATCTAACAGTCTTGGATTAAGCCAAATACAAAATTCAATCCAGTTTAGCCCCCATTTCCCTTGTCAGATATCCGTTTGACTGCCTTTTTGTGCTTTCCTGAGCTCCAGCCCTCAGTCCAAGAGGTGATTTTACTACAACTGTAGCCAGTCACTGCTACGAGACCATACAGTATTCCTGCTCTATGGAGGGAAGTTTACATCCTCCCCCACCCCAGAACAAACACAATCTCTTCACTTTGCAGTGCCAAAAATAGAAGCATTGGTATTTAAATTGCAAACAATTGGATTTGGCAAACAATCCCTATGACTGCACCCTTTCTGAATCACAGGGCTGAGTCATTTCCCTCACCTAAGCTGCTCTCTTCCCCCGTGCAAATTGCAGGAGCAGGAAGAAATACAGCACTAATGTTCTCCCATTTGTCTGCCTGTCTGCCCATCATCCCCATCCCCTGCAGCCTGCCTCCTCCAGGCCGAGCTGGTGAACTATGAGCGAGTCAAGGAGTACTGCCTCAAAGTGCTTCAGAAAGAAGGAGAGAACTTCAAGGCGCTCTATCGATCAGGAGTGGCATTTTACCACCTGGGTGACTTCAACAAGGCCCTCTACTACCTGAAAGAGGCGAGATCCCGCCAGCCAACAGGTATCGGGGGAGCGGGGATGTGGCTTTGCTTTCAGTGCTTTTGCATTTCTTTTCACCAGCCTTAGTGTGTCCCTGACTCAATTGCATTGATTTCCACAGGGATGAGCATGACTCACTGTATCCTTAGCTCTACACCCCTTCAAGCACTCTCATGTAGTGCAGCAAGGTTTCAGTGCCCAAAGGTTAACCATTGCTGAGGCTGCAGCACAACCTGGAAGATGACAGTATTGCTGGAATGCTGCCTGTGTGGAGCTGATCCTGCCTCTCTTTCCCTCCGCTGTTTATTTTTGAAGAAGAAAGCTGGATGGGGAAGAGTGTATCCTGACCATTACATTTTCTAACTCCAAGAAAATGCTTTTCTCCTTAGCAAAGCTAGGAGAATATTTTTAATTCTCAATAGCCATCCCTTCCACCATGTCAATAAAGGGCTAGTATTTGATCAGACAGACATTTACTCACAAAGCATCTATCAGGACACTTCAACTTTTGCTGTGAAATCAGCCGCTTGCCTGTTCAAGTATCTGTCATCTACGTGTCAAAACCCAGCAATTCATTTTGGGACAGCAAAGGAATTATACATTCAAACAACTTAGCTTTATGCTAACGGGATAAAACCACACTATGGTTTAAACCATTTCTGTTGAAAGAAAGGAATTTTGTAATACTCAGATAAAAATTAAAGGATCATAAGGAAGGAAAACGGAAGCCCCAGAGTGCAGCTTTTCCACCTAAACCTGAGAGAGAAAAGTGAGAACTGTGTGTGAAAAAGGAGTGAGCCTGAGTCCTGGCAGAGCACAGTGCAGTTTATGTTCATTGCGCTAGAGTAGACAGGGAAGGCTGTCAGAGCTGAGTGTGCTCAACAATGCTACAGGCATTGGCCTTGCAGGGCTCCTGTGGTGCCTGTGCCCTGGAGCAGCAGCGCGGAGGGTGCACTTAGGTGTGTTCTGGGATCTCCTTCCTCTTCCACAAGGGTGCTTGGTCCCATCTGCTGCGCTTGGCCATGGGCTCCAGGCAGTCTGACAGCACAGCTGTACACCCCACACTCCCTCAGCAAATGTGCTCAAAAGCTCAGTTTAACCTATTTTAGTTTACAGTGCACCCTTCTGCTTTCAGCCCTTGCCAGAACCAGGAAATGGAGAAGCCTATGCAGGAGAAAAATAGTCAGTGGAAAATAGAAGTTGTCCTAACCTTGAGGTTCTGACTAGGCTCAGATGTGAAAAAGTCCTTTTAGCTGAACTATTTTGCATCCATTTTTAAAATATATATTTCTGTGCTCCCCCACCCCACACACCACGTGATACTGTTTATTTGGTATTCCACATTGCTTCTTGAAATAAATACTAATTTATTCAACAGCAACAGCTTCAAATACCACAGCTTGCTACAAAAACATACCAGAAAGTATCCCCAAAGTCCCTTAATGTATACAGAAAACAGTTCTGGCCTTCAGCTCTGCATCAGAGACTCTTCACTGTTATTGTTAGACCAGTAAAACCCATTGTTCCACTGTTTTATTTATTATTATGGAAAATTTGAAGGGTATTCAGGGGGAAAGAAATGAATACGTATGGTAAGAAAGGATGTGGCTGTTAAAACACAGCAGTAGGAATCAGGTAACACTATCAAGAATTATTTTGTATCTGGAGTAAGCCAGCATCTCCAGTTTCAGTGTCTCCATCTGCAAAATGCAATTGTTTTCCTTTATCTGAGGTTTCACTAGGCTCACTGGTGAAATCACTTGGTTATTATTACAGTCATGTTCTATGTGGGTTTTTTTTTTTTCTGATAAGGAATGATTTTGGCACAAATCATTGGCAGTTATTCTCTTTGGTAGGGGAGATTTTAAGTGGTAAAGAGGAATTAGCTAGCAAAGAGTTTTACTGTTCTAAAGGGGTGTTGCCATAGCAAATCCCTTATGGCTATTTACTGTCTGGGTAAAGGTTGGGTTTGGGCTGATTTCTTACGCTATCTCCAAACAAAAATCACAAAAACTAATGGGAATAACACAAGATAATTGTATAACCCTCCTTAATCTAAGGGAGAGGGAAACCACTGTTAAGTTGTGCAAAATGTACATGCAGCCCTCCATGAACTCTCTGTTCAGAGGCTGGTGCAGCATAGATAGCCAAACGTACTCCTTACCTTCAAGCCTCATTCAGCTCTTTTCCACTGGTGGGGCCACATTTTGTTGGTCAGTAGGTACTGACTGAGATTGAGACTGAGATTGACTGGAACATCAGCTGGTCTGGTAGCATCGAGCACCCAGTTAGTCTCTGCTGCTGACCCGGTGCTGAAAGCTGGTGTTCAGACATCACATGGACTGCACATACAAGCCAGGTTTCCCATGCTGCATAGAGCGGGCTCAGAGCCGACCTCAGGAGCTGCCTTCCTGAACCCCTGTGAATCAGAAGTCCTGGGAACAAAATCCAGGCCACGGTGTGTGCAGCACAGATAAGCAACTGGACTCTGAGGCCACAGGAAGAAGCAGAAATGACCTTTAAAATGGCAAGAGGCCACTCTGCACAAGAACAGGCACAGTCTTAAGAGCCAGGAGACATGTTCCCGTTGCAGCTTTGCCAGCATCTCTTTGTATGCATCTGACGTGTCATCTGAGTTGTCCTTACCTGTTATTTCCACATTAGCAGAAGGGATCACTTCTTCCTCACTGAGAGATGAGTCTTCATTAACACTTACATGTAGCTTTGAAATACTTTTGCAGGCAGAGCTAGTATGATGCAATACTATTTCATGGAAAAGACTTGACAAAGACAGGGCTCCACTCCTGTTAACAGAGTACTGCTCTCATTGGTGAAATAGTGGCCCTCAAAAAGGAAGCAAAACAAGCCAAAACCTGCTTGGGAGATTTATAATTAGCTCACAATGGGAGCATCTCCCACACTCTATCAGGCTACACCTTCCTTTGCTCCTGGCTTCCCAGGCGTGTGGGAATCTCCCAAGTGAGTGAAGCTGTGCCATCAGCAGCTAGCTCCCTTACCTGCAAGCCAAAGGGAGTTAGCAACCTTTCATTCCCCAATTATGCACTGAACCCACCTCCACCCCAGCCAGGCGTTGTCTGCAGGCCCAGGCAGGTGTGGTTTCCTGTGATGCTTGCGCAGTTATCACTTATCACCTGTACCAGGCAGACGTTCAACGTGTGAACTTCAGCAGCAGGGATGCGTACCCAGAGCCATCAAAACCTAGAAGGGCACAGAGCAGAGAGGCTGCATGGAGGCTCAGGCAGCATAGCAAGACCCCCACTGCCAGTACTGCCTTTACACTGCTGGGAGTCAGCCACTTGCCTGCCACGTGCACTGATTTTATTTTAGGCCTAAAATTCAGGGCTACCCCTTCAGCCAAATGTCTTCACTTGGGGAGGATGCACAGCTAAAACCAGTTCTGTTCTTTACAAAGCTGCTTTAGAATTTGCTGGGCTTGTATGAAATGCTACTGCATGAACAGCCCAGGATACTGCTGCAGCTTGTCTGGCACAAGCAACAGTAGAACTTCTTGGCTCAGTAAGAATGCCCCTCATGGGGCCAGTAACTTAATCACTGAGTCACACCCTTGGGACTGACCAGGATGAGGCAGTTAACTTGCAGAAGATGCAGCAGGGAGGTCTTAGCAGCATTGCCACAGCCCCCTGCTACACCATGGCACATTTATGGATTGCTCTGTGTGAGGGGAGACCCATCCATCTCCCACAGGTTCGTCTTTGGCTGAAGGCACAACTCACGTTTAAAGGAAACTCATGTTTAAAGGAAACTTTGCACCCACGATTGCTTTGGTGGGTGCAGTAGCCACACTTGCTAGTGCTGGACATGTTACCAGTAATTTGTCCATCTCTTTGAAAGCTCAAGCACCTCTCGTTTCCCTAGGTGGTGTGGTTTGGATGAGGAGACAAGCTTGCCCTCTGACTGTGGTCTGCAGTGTACTTCAAATTGGTTTCTGAAGATCTAATAATGGACTAAGCTGGTCCTGGCTGTTTGTCTGAGTAAAGCTGTGACAAAAGATCTATTTTAAAATCAATACATAAAGTGAAAGTAGCTACTTTTTTGCTTGCTTGCTTCTGATACCACATGGATTTATCATTATGTGGGTGCTGTGTGCATGGGAAGTCACTCTCATGGTAGTAAGCCAACATGATTTGAGAAAGGATTGACCACAACTGCGGATTCAAGGGGGCTGTCTGGAGACGAATACTTGTTTAGATCCCCCTGTGCCACAGGGTGAACAGGTTCCCTCATTGATGAGGCCAGGAGGTAAAATAAAACTCACATGTTCTGTGTGTTGTGTTGATGTGTTGAAACACTGGAAGGAAAAAGAGGGCTCAGCTTACCACTTGCACAGGTCTCTAAAGGGATGAAAGGGTTCTCTGCTCCTAGGAACTTCATTAGGTAGAACAGACAAGGCAGTTTGCAGCATATAGCATAGGGCAAAAATGCAGATAAGAGTGTCATGGTGGAAGGACTTCCAAATATGAAATTTAAGGAAAGCAAGGGTACAAAGAGATTGTGAAGGATGATCTTTCAAATTCAACTCATCATAGAAAAATGTGAGAAGAGTGAAATAGGCTGTAAAAGGAATAGGAGGGTGAAAAAGCAGAGTGTAACTACACAAAATGCTTGCATGCAGGCACTGAGGGAAGGGAAGCCAACAGAGATACTGTTCCACAAGAATAGGCAAGGATGACTTGGATAGTTTTGAGTGTGCGAGTTCAACTGTGCTGACCAACAGTGATCAGAGAGAAAGTAAAAACTAGCTGAGGCAAAATTGTGAGCAACAGGGATGGGAAGCACAAATCAGACCAGGTTCTCCAAAACCAAAGCTGCAGGGTTTGGTTCAGAGCCCCTTCCAATCAATGCTGTTCTGCAGGCAGTGCTGAAGCCATGTTGCTCCCCAGGTGATGCACAAAGGATGAAGGTACAGTGTGTCTGTCTTCCACAGGGACTTGTAACCACTGTATGTGTATGTGTATGTGTATGTGTGTGCTCTTTCCCTGCAGATACCAATGTCATACGATATATTCAGCTGACAGAGATGAAGCTCAGCAGATGTTCCCAGAGAGAGAAAGAAGCCTTGTGAAAATGAAGCCGCATCAGCTGAAGTGCCCAAGGTGGAACATTTCCTTCCCAGAAGCTCATTTGGTGGATTTTCCTGTCTGCTCTGCCTCATCCTCATCTCCTCATCCACCCACTTGCCCTTGACCTTCATTGAATCCCAGTTTGGAAAACAAAAGACTTAGACACTGGATACGGCTGCTTGCCAACCATGGTAATACCCCTTCCCCGTGGCAGGAGAGCACAACCGCTACAGCCAGCCTTGTTCCAAGACAGTGTCACACACCTGGAGTAGGCCATGCTGGGGACCTTTGTGGTCCTGAGCTGACTGCCTATTACCTATTAAGGAAGCAACCCCCAGAACAACAACTTCCTGACCAGGCAAGTTGGAGACAAACAGTTCCTGCTCTGAGTGATCACTGGAGCTTGGAAGAGCTGCGAAACCAAGAGAGTCACCGGTCATTTCATAGGGGATGGCAAATGCCTTTTTACCATCAGTTCCCTGTGCCTGCTTCTCCAGTGTGTGTTATCTGCCTCCAGTGAGAGCTCACATGCTCCCAGTCTAATGCCAGTGAAAACTCTTTCTAAACATCCTCTTAATGAAAGCACAGAGCACCCTACAAAACCCCTGCAGAGCTGTCCCAGTGCCGGAGGAGAAGGCTGTGGGCTACCACAGAACAGTGAACAGACTGTGAGAGTGTGGTGTACAGTGTGAGGGAAAAACTGTGAAATAATTCATTAAAGGCAAATAAAAATTATTAATGGGCAACAAGTCCCGGCATTGCTTTTTGAAGGGACCTCTTGAGTTCCCTGTGTCCAGACCCCCCTGCCTAGGGGGGTTAGCATGGGGTGGGGAACAAGGGGCATCTCCATTCTTATTGTGGATCTGCCAATGCCTTGCTGTGTCATCTTGGGCAAGTCACTTAGCCTCTCTGTGCCTCAGTTTCCCTGTCTTTACACCGGGGATAATACTACTTCCCTACCTTGCAGGGGTGTTGTGAGGATGTATTAGTTAATGTTTGTAATTAACAGTACAGTGATATACAGTGATGAGTATTACTAGTACATTGGATTGAGGTCTTGAATCTCCCACCTTGTGTTGGTGCTTCCTATGTCCTATTTTTGATTTTGTAGGAGAACATGGTGCTGGCAGGGGAGGACAGGGCAGGGCCAACAGCTTCAGAGCCCATTTCAGCAGCCCATATGGCCTGTTTAGACCTCCTCCAGCAGTCTGATCACCCCTAAGAGCTCAGGCTCATTGGCTCAAAGGTCCTTTTCTGAAACTGCCAATAATGAGATCAGAAAGTGCCACAAACACATTTCCAATGTGCCTGCCCCATCAGTGCCCCATGGGGACGTGCTCCCAGTTGCAGGATATACATGAATGGTCTCATCCCATGGTGGTCAGTGTGAAGTGAGTGTACGCAGAGATACTTCACTTGGCCCTCAGCTGAAACATGGAAACACAGACAGCTGAACAGGAAAAGTTCAGCCAAGTGCTGCATGCTTTGATCCCAACAGACGTGGTATCTGCATATAGTTGGCTATGGCATCCCACATTCCAGTTCTGGTATCTTGCCACATTTTTCTTTAGCCAAAATTTGAAAGAGTTGATAGAAAAACATCAAGAGAAAAGGCAAATTTCTGCCATCATCCCTGAAAAAAATGAAAACATATTCCTTAGGGCAGGGACACATCCAGCTCACGCTGGGGGCGGGGAGGGGACCATCTTAAAGTGACGTATAAGTCTCTGAGATCAGGCAGACCTACATCAGTTGTGTGAAACTTACATTACCTGAGATGGCACCAGAGGTTCATGTTCCTCAGGTGGTGGAAAGCAGCTGCTTTTCAAAACTGGGTACATTGTGTACAGCCCTGTGAAGGAAAGGACTGCATCCCAGAGGCAGCACAGTCACCTTCTTCAGAAGGAGCATGGTTCATACGTGCTAGAAACAGCAAGCACTCTGCTCACCAGTACACATCTAAGTGATAAAAGGGGCTACAGGTGCTGCTAGGACAGCAGTCAAGTTAAAGAGGAAAAATGAGGGCAATTCTATAGGTGAATGTTAACTAGACCACAAAAAGAGGTTAGGCAGAGGTGTGCTTAGGTGCATGTAAGATGTACCTGGTACTGTATAAAACACAGAGCTAATAAGTTTCTGGTTTTCAGCCTCATGCAATGCAATCCATACCCTAAATACATCACAGCACACAGCAAATTCAAATAGAGGTGACTCCCACCTACTTCATATTGCTGATGATAGTAAATTCCACAGCTGTGTGTGTCTCCACTAGGATTGAAATGAGGATTCATCCTGCAGGCCATGCAACAGGACAGGACACCACCTACACAAGCAGTCTCTGCCCCAGGAAAGCTCAGGCAAGGAGATGCAGGCTTGTTAGTCATGACCTTAATGTAAGAGAAAGGGCATTCTCCCATCACTGGAAATGTAGGTCCATGGAAACAATTTTGGAAACAATTTTAGCCCTCACGATGGCTTCACTGACATACTGTCACTGCATTTGCCCCGTGTATACATTAGTATAAAAAGGGCGCAGCGGACTCCAAAGTAGTCTCCTCAGTTCTCAGCCACTTTTCCTCCAGGAGCACGGCAAAGCGTGAGGGAAGAGAGAATTCTGTCAGTGTGCATATGAAAAAGATGTCAGAGAGCCTCCAGGTGCTACACAACAACCTAAGCGGTTGTCCTTACATACCTTGGCACTCAGAGTACCTGCAAGCAGCCCACACTCACACCAGGAGCTTGAAGAAGGAAGTCACCAAAAAGAAAAGGGGGACTATTTTGCCAACTGTGCAGTATCTGCATGCTTCCACAGTGACACAGAGCTTGAGAGACACATGGACAAAATTTCAGGTGGGGGCCCTGCACATGTCAAGGAGAGAGACAGCATCAATTCTTCAACATTGCTGTACATGTGGAAATCAACACAGGCCCCTCCATGTACCCAGTAGGGTAAGATGTTTCCACTGCAAAGGGAAGTGAGACTGTTCACCAACTACATGTGAAAACAGCAGGAACAACAGGGCAGATAGCAGGCAAAGTGTAGCACAGCAAGAAGGAACTGTGGATGAAATGAGAGAGGGGTGAGCTGACCATGGGATGCAAAATACAAGCCAAACCCAGGTTAATGGGCAGAATGAGAACCAAGCTAGAAAATATAAGTAACCAAATGTGTGGCCACATTATTTACAGTTCATAACAAAATCCAGTTTAAATGGGCAGGATGCACAGCAGGAAAAAAGGCAGTAAGATTAGAGGTGATTTTCCAGCTGGAGGGAGCAAAACAGGGGGAGGCTTCCTTCCTCCACGCAATCATTTTTGGAAGTGTGAGGAGAAGACAAACATGTTCTGGTTGCAGAATTTTTCCGAAGATGTGTTAACCATTGCAGTTGACAAAAGTGGCCTGGACAGAGAAGTCTTTATTTAAGTTAAGAAGTGGGTATGACTGGTTTCCAGAATGGACAGGAAGGCAAAGGTTTTGATAGCTAGTGAACCCAGGAGTCCATAAGATGAAGAGGAGGATTTTGAGTCCCCTTAGCCATACATAGAATCATAGAATCATAAAATCATAGAATAGTTAGGGTTGGAAAGGACCTTAAGATCATCTAGTTCCAACCCCCCAGCCATGGGCAGGGACACCTCACACTAAACCACGTCACCCAAGGCTCTGTCCAGCCTAGCCTTGAACACCACCAGGCATGGAGCATTCACAACTTCCTTGGGCAACTCATTCCAGTGTCTCACCACCCTTACATCTCCATTTTGCTTTCCTAGAATTTCTCTCCAAGCTTCAGCTGTGTAAATGATCTCCCCAGCCACAGCCCAGCAGGCCTAGGAGCAGATGTGTTCTCATTATGCTTCACAGGAGATCTCCAGAGGTTTTGTCTGCACTGTTTTCTTTATGCTAAATCCCTTTCCCTTTTCTCTTTACAAGGTACAGGAGAAGGGGGAAGGTATGCACTGGGCAAAGGGGAAATAGAAACCGAATTCATACAGGACCTGCTGACTACCCCTGTTTTCTGCTCATTTATTCACATTTCCTTCTGCACCCTGAAGCACACTGCTGTTCCTCCCAGGTTGCTGCTGTGAAACTCCTTGCTGTGCACAGTACTTTAGAGGCTTGGGATTACTTAAATAAGGAGAGACAGTGGTGGGGCAATGTGCCACCCAGATGGGATGCTTGGAAGGGTGCAGTAAATTATCAGGTTCCTTAATACTATCCATAGGTTTGCATACAAATTAGTAGGACTTCGTATCACTGCACCTGGTATGGGATTGTTTCCAGAGATTGTTCTGAGTTATCTTTGTAGCAGTTGCTCAGTTACTAAGTGCATGCTGTGGGCTCTACTACCACACCAACAGCCTCCATGCTTCCTCAGTGAAGGGAATGAAAAAACAAGTCACCCTCCTGGCTCCTCTGACAGCTACAGTTGGAGGAAGGTAAATTCATGGATACTTGAAAAGAACATGAGAGGAGGCCAGTGGCAAAGTGTGACTTTGAGGCACATGTGAGGTGGAAAAAGATGTAAGTGGTCCCATAGATGCAGGTAGGGAAAAAACCCTCTGTTTCCTCACAGATACAGATGCTCCCTCTGTCACAGCAAGGGGCCAGCTTAAACTGTTCAGTTCAGAGAGATGTGCCTACAGCAACTGTTTCCAGTAGTGGTTGTGATGGGGAATCAGGAAATAAATAGACTGTGTAAGTGCCCAGGAAATTACCCTGCTATGCTCACTTGTTATTCTATAGAAAGCATCTGTTGTGTTACACGGACAGATAAGGGGCACGTGTGGCCCTATTCAACTATGGCAGTGGCAGAATGAAGCTGCTCTCCAAGAGGGGTTGACTTCACAGGCTCTACCTCCTTCCCCTTCATTTATAGCCAGCCAAGTTTTATAAATAGCAGCAGCTCTGCAAAACTAACTTCCACAACTTTTGTTTCCTTCCAGAGGGCTCCCCTTCACTCCATTGTGCCTGCTGGGGAGCATGAACCTGTGGCAACTCCCCATCACTGGTGAGGAAATAACCCATAACATAGCCAGGAGGAACTCCAAGGGCATTAGGGAATAAGAAGAAGAATTTGGCTCCAGACCTACAGTGATTATACATGCCCAGACTCCTGTCACACATGGCACTCAGATCTCCCTGTTGCTCAGCACAGCCAATGGGGGCGATGGGAGATAAGCTCGGAGGAAGGGTGAATCACCAGTGTACTCTGTTATACTATTTTCTCCCCAGAGCTGAGCTAACAAGCATATGAGCATATGTTCTCTTCTCTATTGTCAGAGCTACAAATCAAAACTGTGATTAATCTGAAACTGTACGTATTCTGCATCAGACCCTAGCTTACCTCAGTACTACAAAGGTTTGGTGTCAACTACAGTGAAATACTGAGGTGCAAAATGCAAGGTATGAGCACTGAAGGTGTTGGAAAAGCTTTCCATAAAGAACTCTGCCCGGAAAAAAAAAAACAACACTTTGAAAGGAAAAGAAAAAGATTTAGATTTAATATTAAATCATCTTGAGCAGAGACTTTGCTTGCAGCATTTATGGAGGTATTCCTCAGTCTATGCATACATGAGTGTGTGTGTGTGTGTGTGGTGTACAAAGGGACTGTGGGGTGCAGCCCCAAAGGCAGAAATGTACAAGACAGAGCTGGACCAGACCTCATCCTGCTCCCCAGTCCACCCCACAGCACCACCTAGTCTAACTCAACCAATCCTGACGTACTGACAACTTGACTCTCTTGAAATG